TTTAATTAGATGTAGAAAGTAGAAGGCTTACGGAGGAGTTATTCCTCCTACTAGCCTGGATCTCTAAGACTGATCGCCAGCCAGGAAAGAAGGTGTTGAGAACAATGCACAACAGGGATGCTGCCCTTTAGAGCTGGAAAATTTGCCCTTACAGTGGGTATGTCCCTGTGTGTGATTTTCCAGCAGCAGCTCTTTGAAGGAAAGGGAGCTCCCTTGAAGAAGATGAGGTCATTGAATCAGAAACAAACTGCGACACTTGACCTACAAGTGAACTTAGATTAGGGAGTAAGACTCCAGATAAAATCACCCCACTGAGAGCCAACCAGGAAAACTCCATCGGAAAAGTGAAGATACCATGTTCTTACAGGGGCAGAGACTAATTGGCCTGCACATTTAGCTTAAGAGAGTTCAGCTAAAGGCATAATAACTATGGGAGCATAGATGTACAGGGCAGACTCCTGGGAAAATCCACGCATACAGGTGTGTGTTGTAGGCGTGTTTTGCAAGCTCTCCATGTGATTATGTTTTTATTTAGATATACAATCTGTTCTCTTTTAAAGGAATCCTATTGTGAATTCTTTTGTAATGAGCAGGATCTTTGACAAGGAGAAAATTAGCAACCAATTGGCTTTTAAGGTTGTCATGGTTGCTTAAGGTGTTAAGAGTTGTAAGAAGCCTTCTATATTGGCAAATATAATTAATAAATACTTATATGGGTTCCTACTGTATGTAAAATTTTGTGTTTGGTTTGCACAGCATAAAAGAACCAGTAAAGCATCATCTTTCATGGAGCTCACTATTCAATACAGACAATAGTCTCTCTATGAGTATTACCTAAAATATAGCATAATACTAAGCGTATACAACATATATTTTTAAAACTAAGATCAAGAGAAAACCATTAGCTGTATGAAACTGAGAACATGTCTCATGAAGCAGGTAAAACATAAGATGGACCTGAAAAAGTGAGCAATTACTTATTAAACAAGTAAAAGAAACAAGCTAAGGCAAAGCAAATGCCAAAACAATAATGTCAAATATATACATATATACATATACATATATATATATATCAACCAAATCCAGGGCTTTAAAACTCATTGTGTTTTATATTGGAAGAGCATTTCAGGGTGGCTGGATTATGAAACTGCATCATCGGAGTGTGGACTTGGGTGCGCCTGCCATGATGAGTAGTTGGTTACTTCCTTCTGTTACATAGATAATGGAAGATCATTAACTGTTCTGGAGCATGGGAACGGCATCATTAGATTTGTGTTTAAAAATAATTAAATGGCAGTGTGGTGAATGAATTGCAGAGCGGAGAGTATGTGAACAGAGTAAATGAAGTACTTATTTAGCTAATTGGATAATGTGCAACACTGAGTAAATTTATAAATAACTAAGCTACTGAGTACGAATTGCTGATTACTGTTGTGGATAAAAGAATGGAAATGATAAGATCCGTGAAAGTGTCAAGGGCCTGAGGAAACAGCAAATATTTTGGAATAGCAATAATTGTGAACATCCATTGCAAAGACAGTTTGTCCTGGGTATTATTATGTGAAGTGCTTTGGATTCAGTACTTCATTTAATCCTGGCAATCCTTCAAAGAAAAACAACCATCTTACAAAAACTCAGGAAACTGAGGAGGCACAATGGTGCTTGCTGTGACCTCACAATTTATAAGTGAAGAGAGGGGATGAATTCTGTATGTCTGCCTCAAGTTATTCTCTTGCCTACAACTACACATGAAGGTGATAAATCTTATGGAACAGTTAGAACATAAAAAGACTGAAAATTCATCTACAGTCACCATTGTAGAAGCGTCTTTTGCAAACATCAGTTTTTCAACATGTTCAATGATGTTATGCAAGATGGGGGTAACATCAATAAAACATGAGGTTAAACAAAAGAATCAGTAGTCAGTAATGCTCTCCACTGCACTACACTTATGAGCTTTCTCCTACCGCAAACATCCAACAAAACATGATACAGTAGATGAAATTCCCCAGATCATGAATCCCTTTTATAACCTCAGATATTGTGGGGCTCAGTGTCCCTGAAACATACACTGAAAGGTGCTGGTGAACACATCCTACTTTGGAAACTAGATCCCACAGCAATGGTGCTGTGGATATAATGGAAAATTTGGTTTGGGCATCTAGAATGTCAAGTGCCTGGGAGCAGAATTAAGAATAGAACACTATGGATTAAGTCTTCAGAGATGGGTCGTAATTGGAGGTGCAGCTGTGCTGATGTCCCAGGCATCATATGTGGCACAGTGAAGACAAGCTTGGTGACAGTGCAAAGCTTATCAGAGCAGCAATGCTGGAGAGGGAAAACATTGGCACGTGTTAGATGTGCCTACACACATGAGCCGTTTGTATAGAGCTCAGCTGATGTTTAGAAGAAGCTTAAATCTAATAATAGTTTGTTGAATTATTTCTAAACAATATGTTTTGCTAAAGTTTAGCATACTTGCGTGTAAAATTTAAATCATATTCTTCTAGTAACCATGCTTTCCCCACGCAGTTAACCAAAATGGGTTATTAATTTCTTTGTTTATGAAAATATTAGCCTGGTTGATTTAAGGAGAGATGGCCTTAAATATTCACAGAACGTAACTCTCCATGACTGTGTCACATCGATTTAAGGAAATAATATCAGTCTCTGAGTGTGAATGCAGCTTTGAATTTTAAACACGAAGTCTCCTATTAGTTTAGTCCATGGCAACAGAGATTTTTCTCAAACCAAATAGTTCCAGAAGGATCTATTTTAGCAGCAACATCTGTGAACCATTCTAAAGAGTTGCAATAAAAAATAAAATCATATAATATCTGAAGAGAAATAAGAAAAGCCAAATTGGATTCCTTTCTGGAAAACAAGCTCAAAATTGTGTTCTAAACCTACAGACTATTAGAGGGGAAAGGTACAATAATATCATATTTAAATGGTTTAAAAAACAAGGTGTGCCAGACAAGTACACCATTGAGTCCTAGATTTTGTCAAGAAGGACATTTCCAATGTCAAGGGCGATGTTGACCTAAAAAAAAAGCTAGACCTACGGACTTAGGGAAGAAAGCTTAACTCATTTTGCTTACTCTCCTTACCTCCCTCCAGCTCATTTTATAGACTTTTTCTAGGTGAGTACACCAAAGTACAGCTTTTGGCCTTGTTGCTGTTGTTAATTTGTTTATTTGTTGGTTGTCTGCCCAGTGGATCTTGAGGACCAACATCAGGGGCTTGAATATTTTGGGGCTTCATCAGACTTTCTGATCTGGTCTAGTCTGATCTCTGTCCGTCCCCCAACACACACACACACACACACACACACACACACCCTAAACCTCAACTTCTTCCCATCCCTTTCTATGTCTTTTTCTTTATTAAAAAAATTAACAATGTGTTATTAAAGCTTAGCATATCCCAAATGCTATCATTTTAGAATGTTACCAATATAAAACACCATTAATGATATATTTTATATACGAGTAAACTTTCAAAACCATACGTATATTTTGCATGCATAGAACATTTTGATTAACACGAACGCGTTTTGAGGGCTCAGGAACCACCTGGGGCTGGTGGCTTCCTTGTTAAATGTTTCTGCATTTATTAGTATGTGGTGAGACTCTTCAGCTTTTGAGAAATAGTTTGAATGATTTTTCAAGTTTTTTTTTTTCCAGTCATGGTAGAAGTTTCCTAACATAAAATTCACCGGTTCCCACATTTTTAATTGTACGGTTCAGTAGCATTGGGTCACACACAACATTATTGTGGCGGTTACCATTATCCATTTCCAGAACTTTAGATAGCCCTTGGTAACCTCTATTCTATTTTCTGTCTCTGCAGATTTTCCTGTGTTGAGCAACTCATGTCAATGAAGCTATGCAACATGTGGCATTGCATATCCTTGCTTATTTCCTGGGTTGCAGGTCTTCAAAGTTCATCCATGTTTCTCTGCTTCTTGCTTGAGAAGTTCCAGCTAACTCTACACTTGCCAGTCACACACAAAAGCATGTTCCGGGAAGCTTTGTTACATTGTCCCACTTTCTTACATTTTTTTAAACAGCTTCCCAGTTCCAGCCAGAGCTAGGTCTCTCTACAGCATTGCAGGCCAGCTGTCGGGTGGCAGAAAGATTCATGCAACCTTGAGTCCACCAGTCCTCGGTTTCAAATACTGTCTCTGTGTCTTAGCTGAGTTTTCTCTGTAAATTCTTTAAACCTGGCTGATCCTCAATTTTCTTATCTTTAAAATGTAGACAGGCTGTCATGCGCAGCATTCCTCAGCACTCTGCTTGGCACAGAGGCCTCAGCAGACACCAATCCCATTTTTAATGGAGCCTAATCCCAAGCTTGCTTTCCAAATTGCTGTATATCAATGCCAAAGACTAGAGAAAAATGACTTGCATTATCCAGTTGTGAAATCAATGAAATAAATAATATGTATATAACAGTAAAGTTCCTAGCAAGGAGCTTAGTAAATGGCCGTTCTGTTGTTATTGTTTACAAGTATGAACCTCAATATAGAAATGGCTTGCGTATGATTCATCTTTGGATACCTGCCAATGTTTAGCTGTGTTTAGTTGATGTTCAACAATTCCTCAGGGCATGTGAACCTCCACAGGGCTGGGTAAGACTTGTAGGGTAAGAAATCACCGTTCCAGCAAACCAAAGACAGGTGAAATAGCAGTATTTTTTTCTTTCTTTCTTTTTTTTTTTTTTTTTTCTTTAATTTGGTTATTTTTGAGACAGGGTTTTCCTGGGTAACCCTGGCTATCCTGGAACTCGCCTCATAGACCAGGCTGACCTCAAACTCAGAGACCCACCTGTCTCTGCCAAGTGCAGGGATTAAAGGGATGCTCTGCCACACCCAGCTGGCAGCATACATTTCTAAAAGAGGTAAAGTTAAGAAGTACCTGTAAGCTTAGTGACCAACTTAATACCAGAAGAGGTGAAAACAATGTCTTAAGTTACCTTCTGGAAAAATAAATGCAGACTAGACTTCTTGGCCTTTTGGCTAAGATCAAGTGGATTATCTGTTCTTATCAGTTAAGTTCGTGATGTGACCTCTGTCCAAGGACAAAAACTTAACACTGGACTTTGGAACAGAAAGATGGAATGGAGTGTGTACATTCCATTCATCAGTCTGGAAGTGTGATTTCTCCTGAAATGGTCCACACCCTCAGTGGACTGAAAAAGAACTAGGTTAACAAAGGATGCATAATATAACTTCCTACAACCAACTTAACAATGGTTAGGTTCAAAGGTCAGTAATGTGAAGTTGTGAGCATCTACCCCCTAGTTCCTAGATCCTATCCCCATTAAACAATTTTCTTCACTATCTAACCAGCCTTGGGCCATTGCTATTTTATATTTTGTCTTAAAGGAGAAAACCTTTTAAAAAGAGAGGAAAAGGACTTTCAGTGATGAATACTTCACCCTTCATTTCCACAGAAGGTTTAAAAGAGATAGAAAGCAGAGATGTCATTATCATATGCAGCCTGTCACATGCTGAGTAAATGAGACTGAAACTTGGAACAGGCAGGTCCTCGGCTGGGAAGCCAGAAATGAATGTCAAGTCCTGTCTAGGAAGCAAGGGGAGGAGCAGTTCCGGAAGTCCTGGCCTGCCTCTGGGTATTAGAAGAGACACGGGCCAATAGCTAAATTAAGGTTGATATCAGATCCACAGTCTGGAGGCAAACAGGAGATACCAATCAGAAGACAAAGAAATGGAAAAAAGGATGGAGAAGGAAAAGTCAATGAGCACAGTTCTTATGTATACATCTGACTGTCACAGGTATGTTTTAATGGTCTATCAGGAACTTCCTGAGTCATGTGAGGATGGGCAGACATCATGATCTAGGTAGACTGAAGGAGGAAGCAGATGAACAACGAGGAAGCCGTTATATTCACCCTTGACCAGCTGGCACTGAGAACTGAGGCTCATAAATCTTTTTGTCTGATTTCATCAGTGTGAAGATATGACTTGGGAGGAGAGGAGGAGAGATTTTGAGACGCATGAAACACAACAGGATTTGTCAAGATTCCACCCACTTTCAGATGAGCCTGCTGGGGAAAGAAGGTACTTAAGGAAAACAAAGGGGAAACAATCCAAACCCCCAAGCTTTTAAACTTAAAATCATTAATTCCAATGTTTAGTCCATATCCACCCTTTCTTTTTATAAACGACCTTTGGCTGGTCCAATCTCCTGGACTTTGGCTCCCCTTAGTATCAATTTCCTTATAATTTTCAGGACTTTGTATATCAAGCAGATTTGTTGAATAAAACCAAATATTTTTCTTATTCTTCTATGGTGACTATTTCAATGTTTTGACTCTCAAGCTTGTTCCACAATCTTATTCAAAGTTGTCTCCCTGCTACACATATTTGAAAAGTAAGATTAGCTCAATGAACAAAGCGAAATGAGGTTTAATAAATCATTTAGCCACTGCAAAAAAAAAAAAAATCAGTTCCTTGACTACAAAAGACTAGACAATACATTTCCTGCTTCAAAGCACAGCTATGTGACCTGCAGGCACTTGGTTAGGAGAGACATAGAAGCTCTAGTAGATGACAGGCTGAGCAGACAAATGGGAAAAGGACTTATTCATTTGACAGTAGTGAGACCAGGGATGCAGGGATTCGTGGGTATTCATTTGCCCATTGTTCTTGGACCTCCCAGTCTAATGTAGAATGGAGGAGCTGACACCCTAATGTGGAAAAAACAATGAAGAACGAAGCATGATATCCCATGCATGAGACGCTACAGAATGATGCTAAACACCAAGGTGATAAGGACAGAGTTAGAGAAGAAATGCCCAGAAAGGAAAACTCAGTTTTTGTTTTCCTTCTTTTAAAAAAGTGAGCAACCATGCATGCATGCTTCTTCGTGCTGCAACACCAACTTCTGCTGTTGCCTACTGACAGCATCACGGAGCTCAGGCTGTGGACCAGTCGAGGACATTGAAGGTCATCTTCCCACTTCTCTCCACTGACTCTTCTCCCTCCTTGCCTAATGTCCTTACTTCCTCATCCTCTGTTAGTGCCTGAGTTTTCTATTTCTTCTCCAACCAATGTTGACAAGCTTATTTACTTCATGCTATCAAATTTATGAGCTGATAGCATAAAATCAAGGTGTTGCCATAACTGCATCCCTTCTAAAGTGTTACAAGGAGCATCTTTTTTGTTGTTGGTTCTTTGTTTGTTTGTTTTGTTTTGCCTTTCACAGCTTCAGGAGCCTGATACATCCTTTGGCTCCCAGCCTACTTCCCCAGTCTGCAAATTTAGTGATGTAGCACCTCCTTGCCTCTACCCAACAACTCCTTTTTCTTTTCATGATCAGCGTTGAGAAGGCTTTTCCATTTTTAAGGATCCAAGTAATCTTAGAGACCAACTGTATGGCTGAGGATCATCTCCCTATTCTCAAAATCATGCCTGAAAAAAAAAAATGCAGCTTATTCCCAGGTTCTGAGGATTGGGGTACGGACACCTTTGGAAGTTAGTATTTTGCCTACCACATTGGGAGAGTACAGCTTCAGGTTCTATATGGAAGAAATGAAGCCTAATCTGTCCAAAGCAGGCTTTCATCTCAGCTGCTGGCTAAGAGGATTATGAACACCGTGTGTTAGTTCACAGTCATGTTGCGCTGGCTGATATGGTTTATAGTTTCTTGTAGCATTGGATCAGAACTTTTAAAAGGGAAACTCTGGACTCTGGAGATAGCTCGCTGGGTAAGCAGGAGAACCTTTGTTTGGTCCCAGTACCTATGTAAACAACGAAGCATGCTGCACAGGCCTGTGACCCCAGCACTTGGGGGCAGAGACAGACAGGAGCTGGCTAGTCAGCCAGTGTAGGTGAAAGGGTGACGTCCAGCTCAGTAAGAGACGCTGTCTCCAAGAAGTAAAGTGGAACATAAAAGGGGAAGGCACCTGATCTGTCCCTTTAGCCTCCAGAAGCCCATGCACACACACACACACATTAATGAACACACACAGACCACACACACACACACACACACACACACACAAACACACACACACCGCAAAGAAACCTTTAAAAAGTTGGATTTCTGCTGTTGTTGGGGTAGATGCATACTTTTTAAAATTTCAACTAGACATTTTTCTTTAAAGAAATCGTATAGTGGAGATGAGGAAGGGCGAAACTAAAACTGAAAAATACTTCTGCACAAGGGAGAGGCAGTGGCCATTGTTTGCTTCTCTCCCTTTCTGGCCTCTTTGTGTGTTGTTGAGGTGTGAGCCATTTACATGCTAATCCAGCCCTTTGCTGGATGTAAATGGCTGTGGACAGGTTGACAATGAGGAGCCCAAGCTTAGAATGGAAAGCCTATTGCTTATTCCCTCCCTTTACAGACCGATTTTTCATCATTTATCTGATACAAACAGCTGTATTTGACTAAGTCTGGTACAGATTCCCAAGTCACTTCCTAGTGAGAAGCCAACGCCTGCCCTCGAACTCGGATCTGCACTACAGTTCTTCTCTGGCACACCGCCTCCAGCTCTACCTTAACCCTCACGCTTAAGTATGTGCTTAACGCTTTTCTTAATAAATGCAAAATTTTTTAGTCAAACAAAATCATACATTTTTTTCTTAATTCTTATTTCTTTTCTCCCTCTGCACCCACCTTAGGAACAAACATTCTGAAGCCCATTTCAGCCCTGAAGCTCTACGGGGCTTGTGGTATATGCCCACAGTAGTTACTATTTTTTTTTTTTGTATTTTTTTTTTATTTTTCTTTTTAGTTACATTTTGTTAACTCTGTGTCCCAGCTGTATCCCGCTCCCTCATTCCCTCCCCAACCCCACACTCCCTCCCTGGTCTCCTCCCTGCCCCTTTCCAAGTCCCCTGATAGGGGAGGACCTCCTCCCCTTTCATCTGACCCTGTTTTATCAGGTATCTTCAGGGCTGGCTGCAAAGTCCTCCTCTGTGGCCTAACAGACTGCTCCTCCCCTGGGGGGGGGGTGTCAAACAGCCTGCCCTTGAGATCCTGTTAGAAATAGTCCGTGTTCCCCTTACTTTGGAAAACTACTTGGTTACTGAGCTACCACGGGCCACATCCGAGCACAAGTTCTAGGTTATATCCATAGATGGTCCTTGGTTGAGTGTCAGTCTCAGAAAACACCCTGTGCCCAGATATATTTGGTCCTTGTAGAGCTCCTATCCTTTTCATATCATACTAACTTCCCTTCTTTCATATGATTCCCTGCACTCTGCCGAGGGTTTGGTTATGAGTCTTAGTGTCTGCTTTGAAACACTGCTAGGTAGAGTCTTTCAGATGCCTTTTGTGGTAGACTCCTGTCATAAGTTCAATGCACATCCTATTTGTCTTTCTAAATGAGGATTAATCACCTTCGCCTGTGTCCACTTTCTTGATTATCTTCTTTAGGTGTGTAGATTTCATTATGTTTATCATGTCTTGTAGGCCTATATAAGCGAGTATATACCAAGTTTGTCTTTCTCCTTCTGGGATACTTCACTCAGAATGATCTTTTCTAGATCCCACCACTTGCCTGCAAATTTCATGATTTCCTCCTTTTTGATTGCTGAGTAGTATTCCATTGTGTAAAAATACCACAATTTCTGTATCCATTCCTCCGTTGATGGACATCTGGGTTGTTTCTAAGTTCTGGCTATTACAAATAAAGCTGCTACGAACATGGTTGAACAAATGTCCTTGTTGTGTACTTGAGCAAATTTTGGGTATATACCTAGGAGTGGTATAGCTGGGTCTTGAGGTAGCACTACTCCTAGTTGTCTGAGAAAGCGCCAGATTGACTTCCAGAGTGGTTGAACCAGTTTACATTCCCACCAGCAATGGAGGAGGGTTCCCTTTTCTCCACAACCTCTCCAGCATGTGCTATCACTTGAGTTTTTCATCTTGGCCATTCTGATGGGTGTAAGGTGAAATCTCAGGGTCGTTTTGATTTGCATTTCCCTAATGGCTAATGAGGTTGAGCATTTCTTTAAGTGTTTCTCTGCCATTCGATGTTCCTCTTTCAAGAATTCTCTGTTTAGCTCTGTTCCCCATTTTTTAAGTGGATTACTTGGTTTGTTGCTTTTCTGGATTAACATTGTGAAAATGGCCATCCTGCCAAAAGCAATCTATAGATTCAATGCAATTCCCATCAAAATACCAACTCAATTCTTTACAGACCTTGAAAAAAA